AACTGTGTTTTTTTAATATTTCCTTTTAAATTAAGAAATTCTGTAATATATAGAACTAAAATTTTAATTTATAATCTTTAGTTTGATGCCAAAATTATTGACATAAATTCAATAACTCACCTCACACAATAGCTTATGTTGTGAACAGCAATAGTGCATGACATAATCATCATGCAATGATAGCCAACCACTAGTAGGAGGTGTCACAATCTCTTTTGCTCACTAACTCCCCTAAGCACTTATGCTAAAAATAACTTCATTCTTTTCCTTGGCATTGTTTTTAATGAATGTTTTTTAAACTTATTTGAGGCCTCTCATCTTTCCCTATTCTTCACTTGGTATACCCTGATTGAGATGAGGTCTCACAGTTGTGCCCCTATGGATCCCCTGCCATAGGGTGATAGATCCTATGGGCTTCCTTTTAGCACCTTGAAATTAGGTAATTTCTGCACTGCCCCCCCCCCCCCACAATGTGCCTTAACATGGGATTCTAGCTAATCTGTGCATGGAGATGAGTCATCATATTGGAATTTAAAATTTTCCTAACCTGAAAATGTATTTCCGATAGATACTCACCTTCCTGCACATTAATACCCTTCCTTCCCATTTTCCTGGTGCACATTCATTGATTCACTCATAAAAAAATTTGGATTTTTCCGGGTGAATGTAGAAGGAGCATTTGCACAGGGAGGTATGTTGCAATGGTATGTTGGTGGAGGGGTTTTCTGCATGATTATGTATCATGCAGTAGTGCAAATTCGTGCATTTTCATGCATATTTTAGGTGGGAGTTTCATAAGGCTGGTGGCATGCAAATCTCTAAACAGAAACACATGCTTTCAAGAGGAAAATAGCTAATCTGTGCACAGAGGTGAGTATCTATTGGAAATGCATTTTCAGGTAAGGAAAATTTTAACTTCAAATTTTAATATTATGTTTTAATTTCTTAATTCAAAAGAAAAGCTATATATCCTTTTTTTGTATGTCACGTGGCATGTCCCTTTGTTTTATTGCTCAGTTTATATTTTAGTGGTTAACAAATTAGAAACTCAAATTTCAGACACTTAAAAGCTAGAATATACAATGAGAGTCTTCTACCTTTTTTATTTGCTGAGGTATTAATATATTTAGCAAGCCCATTAGGGTAACTCCTCCCACTAATACATTCTTTAGAAACTTTGTGTCTACTTATGCCTACTTAAATACATGTTTATAACCAATTAAAACAGTACATTCCAAATTATGTAAATCAAAATCACTTGTAATTGGCTTCAAAGAGAAACTCGTAATTTTACTGGAAATTTTGAAGTCTGTCGATTAAGCCATTGCTCTGAACAGCCTAGTTAGAAACTCAGATAAATTAGTGATTTTATTTGTACCAGTAATGTAATTAATTGATAATTTGTTTGTTTTCTAAAAAGAATCTTTTTAATCCACAAAAATGTGTCTTCTTTCTTCACATTGCTCTGAACAGCCTAGTTAGAAACTCAGATAAATTACAGTGATTTTATTTGTACCAGTAAAGTAATTAATTGATAATTTGTTTGTTTTCTAAAAAGAATCTTTTTAATCTACAAAAATGTGTTTTCTTCCTTCACGTGAAAGAAGGAATAGGGCTTACGGCGAGGTGTAGAAATATGACACATGAGTACAGATCAATTTTGTAACATCGTGAGTACTAGAAATCATTGTTTTACTATATATTTATTGTTCATTGTTTTAAGAAAAATACCCCTCTGGGAAGATAACTAACATAGAAGTACCTACCAAGTTTTATTTGATTGGCTTGGACTTTGTAAAGAGCCAAATCATAAACCTTTTCTAACACTTATTACTTTAGACAATTTGCATTGTAACCACTGTACTGTAAACAAACTGATAAATCCTCTCCCACTGTGTTCTTGGAGTCAGGAACACAATAAACTCTGGGAAACATCTTATTATTATTGATGGGGTCATGTCATGTAAACAGTTTAATGGCAGGAGCGATGATTCATTATTTTATATTCAGCAGGTCTCAGATTTAGCTGCTAATAGTAAAATAACCATAGGAAATAGATGTGAAAGGGTTAGAAGTATTTTGGAGTTTCTTGGTAAATACTAAAAAGAATAGAACAGTACTAATCTAATTTTGCATTTTTCTTTTCATGGTGGTTATGAGTTCGGTCAAACTGATTAAGTGTGTATAGTTAGGGTAGAGGAAATAACAGATAAAATACAAAGTTATAGTGAAAAAGAATGTTTGACATTTACAAGGCTCTACAGATTAGGTATATGAAATTTGGTAATTTTCAAATAAAGAAAAGTATTTTTAATCTTTAATTGAAAATCACTTTACACTCAAAGCAGTCAGGACTCTGACTACTTGTAACATTTACTAAAAGATTGAAAATTTCATAAAGATACGTAAAACATGTTGAAAGTGATAGTATGGAAACTGATGATCACTTTGGGATCATGTGGTCAGTGTAATCCACCAAAACAGTAACGAAAGGGTTAACTCAAGATAGGCATATAGCTAAAAAGAAGGAAAGGATAACA